TTAATGGGTGGAGGGAATAGATAAAAGAAATCAAAGAGCTCCCTTCCCAACTGAAAGAATTCATAAAAATTCTAATATCAGGGAAGATTAAGCTGGGACGAAGTGAGAGAGTGGCATGGACATATATACACTACCAAACGTGAAATAGATAGCTAGTGGGAAGCAGCCGCATAGCACAGGGAGATCAGCTCGGTGCTTTGTGACCACCTAGTGGGGTGGGATAGGGAGAGTGGGAGGGAGGGAGATGCAAGAGGGAAGAGATATGGGGATATATGTATACGTATAGCTGATTCACTGTGTTATAAAGTAGAAACTAACCATTGTAAAGCAATTATACCCCAATAAAAATAGTAAAGAAAAATTCTAATATCAGGATAATTTACTATCGGGAAATTTAAGAACTTAAGGGGAAAAATGAGTTGAATGGCCAAGATCAGGTATAAGCCTATGAAAGCTCCTATAAAAGGGTCTTCATTCAATAAAAGAGACAACATTCAAGAACGCAATGGCACGTGTCACATCTAAAATGACTATTAATTTTAGTATATTTGATTTCCATTTGCAATTCAAGCTCAGTAGTAAAACTTGGGACCTTCTTTACACAGTTAAAGAAATTGTGGATTTGTTTTGCTTTTTTTGGCAGCAAATTATATGAGGACTAAGAGACCATTTTTCCTCTCTGGTCCTCAATGCCAGTGAGCAGTATTTTTCCAATTTAAGAGTCCTGTCTCACGAACTTATGGTTACCAGGGTAGAAGGGAGGGGGGGAGAGTTAGGGATTATGGGATTGACATGTACACAGTGCTGTATTTAAAATAGATAACCAACAAGGACCTACTGTATAGCACAGGGAACTCTGCTCAATATTATATAACAACCTAAATAGGAAAAGAATTGGAAAAAGAATAGATATATGTATATGTATAACTGAATCACTTGCTGTACACCTGAAACTAACACCACATTGTTAATCACCTATACTCCAATATAAGATTAAAAGTTTTTTTAAAAAAAAAGAAATAGTAGGGTATAACATGTTATTGAGAGATGTAAAGTCTCAGCCAAAAGCAATACAATTAAGAACATTAAACCTAAAAAACAAACAAAAAAAAGTTCTCTCTCTCAAGTTCCCACTGGACTCAACAGAGTGATAGAGTAATGTAGGTGGTTAGGATGGGGGAAAAGGAGAAGAACAGCTACACAAAATCTTTTAAAACCAATGCACCAAAGCTGAGAATGTTTCTTTCCCAGTCTTCAAGGTTATGACGCCTTACTTCTGGTCATAACTTTGTGCCAGGCGGTGTCCTCAGCCCTTCTGCCCGCGCCGGGCTTCTTTCATCCTGATGGAATGAAGGGCACAACCCCAAGATGTGAACGGGTTGACCCTTACCCTTCTTGATCTCTCTCAAAACTTTATTGCAGCAACCTCATTTCCTGCTCTTGTGTCTGACTTACTTCCCTTTTATCTTCCCAACCTCTATGACTTCAGTCTTTCTTTTTTCCTAATTATTCCCATTAGAGATCACCAACAGTTCTTCTTATTATCTAAAAGGTATAAAAACTCCATGTAGGAGGGATTCAAAATGGGAAAGCTGCCTTCCTCAAAACTTTCAAAACCGTTGAGTCTTCTAGTGGCTGGAACAATAAATATTTTCTATCCAAAGGCTGTATCCATGTTTCTCCCCGCTGGGGAAAGAATGCCTAGAATTCATCCGATTTCCTGAAAGATCTGTGACTCAGAAAAGGTTTACGAGGTGTTTGGGTAACTTAGCCTCATGAGTTTGGGGGGTCGGATTTGTGACAACCATCAAACCAGATTAAATGCCATAGTATGTCAGGCATTTTTTCTTTCAGCCCAAGAAACAGCATTAACCATTGGAAGAGGTATCTGAGAAAACTCATGATTCTATGGAAGGTACACTGAGAGTCAGGAGGCACGGCTTCTGGGGAAAAAGTTTTGCCACTAACTTGTTGCATGAATTGGGCAAGTCATCTCATCTTCCATGGGCCACTGTTTCCACATCTCCAGTTAGGGAGTTAGACTAACTCAGTGGTTTCAAACCTGACCTGGAGACCTGAGACCCACACCCATCACCAACTGAAAGAGATTCATTGGAACTGGTACTCTGTAACCTGATTTTTTAAAGGAACACTTCTCAAAGCATCCTATTGTCTGCCAGGTGTACAAACCATTGTAGCAGAGACTCTTTAGGGTCACTTCTAGCTTGAAAATACTGGGTTTCCATTAAACTAATATTCTCTACACTTGGCAGAATCTGGATTAGCCTGAAGTATCAGTCAACAGAATGCATCTATCAGAGTATTCTTTTTAAAATACATGTGATATAATGGACTTCCTCAGAACATAGGCACTGAAAATGCTTGCCTACAAATGTGGCTAAGCAGAAAATGTTTTATATTTTATCAATCTTCTTGACTCAGTATTTAAGTTCTATAATGTCTAAAACTAAAGGCACCTGGAAAATTACTGACTGATGGCGGTGCAAAAGTTGTGAATATCAAGTAAAAACCTGTGGTTTTGAAGGGGAATGGCAGAGGGGTGTTTCGCTTCAGAGATGAAAAGAGTAATTTCATTCTATCTTAACAGCATGCACCAACCTTTTCAGAACAGCTAGGGTTTTTGGGTTGCATCAGAAAGGAAAACATCACCAAGTTTGTTATTCTCCTGTAAGAGGGGGAAAATATCTTAATACATATATTTATAAAGGTTAAGGAAACCACATGAAAGCCGAAAATTTATTTCACTAACATACATAAGCTCACAACAATGAACAGACACAGAAAATAGCAGTATATACAGAATTCGACTACTTACAATACATTACAATAGATAACAGGGCATTTCATAAACAATTCAGTACTGGATTGAAATCCTTCCAAGGATGGTTAATTCTATTTAGCAGAACTATAACAAATCCATTCCTATCAGGGTGAGAGAGGGCTTTCACTGTTGCTGTTGAGTACTTTAAAAATATTTGCCTCTTATAAGTGAAATGAGCCACAGCATCTGCTAAGTGAACTTATTCCATGTAGGCTGAGTGTTATTAAATCTGAGTTTTCTGTGATTTTAAAAAAATTTTTTAATAAAATAAAACACATGTGATTAATACCATATGTGAATTAAATGATTTATTCAGAGAGCCTATCACCGTAGTGCTGGCTACATAATGGACACTCACCTCATAGGATTTGTAATGAAAATTACTGGATGTCATGGCTGGAGAGCATTTACCAGGGGGCTGATCACAGTGAATACTTAGTGAATTGACAGCTGATAGGACGATAATAACAATGACGTTGGTTATAAGATCTCACTACTCAAAGTGTACCCCACGGGCCAGCAAGGTCCGTATTACCTGGGACGTCATTGGAATGCGGGGTCTCAGGCTCCACCCAGACCTCCTGAATCAGAACCTGCAAGTTTGAGAAGCACTGATACAGAAAAACATTCTTGGAGTTCAGCAACTCCACAGAACTCATATTAGTAGTAAACCATGGGGGTTGGGAGTCACACCCAAATCAGCAAGTGCTGAGGCCAGTGCCTTTCTCTTATCCCTTAGACAGCATCTCTGACCTGGAGATGTTCAGGCTTCCTGAATCCCAGGGCAATTCTTTCTTTCATCCAAGCTGTAACTGAAAAGCTTTTCAAAAACCCATTTTTTATGTCTACCACAGTAGCAACGACATTGTAATTTTGTTTTATTTTCCACATTTTTAATTATTCAGCTGTTTTACTTGTCACCATTTAGGGAATTATTGCAAAACGTATGTCTTCAGTGCTACTGATCAATGTATATTTAGGCAACTAAACAGATGTAGAATGGGTTGACTGCTTTGATAAAATTAAACATTGATGAGACGTATATTTGCACAGCAATAATGATGCTGGCATTTGTATAAATAATAGCAGATCTATTTCCCTAATCATCTAGAAAAAAAAACAGTCGGGGCGGGAGGTTGACAGAATTACCAAATATGTCTCACTTACTAGGCAGGTCACTTTCAAGTGCAAGTTTTTTTTTCATGGGAATAAAATTATGTTAATTTATAACATCTATTACCACTTTAAAATGAGAGAAGTATATTTGAGCAAAAAACAGTGTGATGAGACCTGAAGCATATTTCCCAGATATGTTATAATTTCCAGAGCTTGTTTGTACGTCCTGGAAGGTGCAAGTTTTTTAAGGTACTCCTCCACAGTACCACAGTTTGATTTTATGCAAGATGTGTTTTGAACTTAAGTGATTCTATGTTACACATTTGTTTTTCACATTTCACCATCTCTGAAATTGGGATCAGTCTTATAACTGATGGCATGTCACAATTTGATTGACAGAATTTTTTTTCTTTTTTACAATCAATTGGATCTTAAAATCACTTAAATTGAAAATTAGTATCTGCAGTGAACTTAATCCTAGTCCACAGGGAACATCATAGCGAGTAAAACAAATGGGACAGAGAGGGTTCATCACCCCCACCCGTATCCAAAGAAAAAGGGGAGGTGGATAAATAGAAAGAAATGAGATTAAATAAGAAACGCCTCCACGATTTCTTTTTTTCACAGAGCCGGAGAGAAAAATCATGGAAGATAAGATAATTTAGCAAAAGGGCAAGAAAGAGGAATAAGGGAGATGGAAAACAAAAAGAGAGCAAATAAAGCATCAAGATGGAAAATGTATCCAATGAGCGTACTATTTTGACCCCCATTTCCTGGGTGTGGTGTCCTAGACAGTCAATTTGCTGCTCGCCTTTCTTTATTACACACTCTGGTCGGTAGAGCTCCTAGAGGGTGAGGTGTGGGAGATGCTCCCAGCATCTCTCAGGAGGTATTTCCTCTTCTCTGGCCCATGCAGGTGGCCCATCTCCCCACCCCCACAGCCTCTGAACTTTCATCTCTTTCCCTGCCTCCATTTCACTCAGTCCCAAACCACCGAGAAGGTGTAAATGATGGTTACAACTTTGTTTGTTTGTTCTTTCAGGTGATATCAAGATTATCGAACAAATCTACGGTCTCACAGGTATGGCTTTTTGCCAAAGAGCAAAATATTTATCTAAAATTTGTGGGATTTCCAACAAATCTGTCTCCCCCTTGAGGATGTAGTGTATTCATTTTTGACTTCCCCTAAAGCACTTGAGAGAGACGTGGCAATGACTTTCATGAGTTTGGGAATAGAGAAAGATTGAAACTCGTGTATCTATTTAAGGATCTTAGAGCTATTGTTAAAACATAGTTTGTCACCAAAACCTGCCCAGAGTAACGAAGTCCTGAGGTATTGATCTTAGAAGAATTGAGCTTTTAAATCAGTCCCAACTTTTAAGAACCCTCCAATTTCACAGAAAACTTTCCCCCAAAACAGTAACTTGTCCGATTTATTACCTAGACCTTTATTACCAATAATCCCATGAAAGAAACACTGTAAACAGCTCCTTTTCTTGATCTGTACCCTCTTGAAGCAGAACCCCCCAACTTTCACACACATGCATACACACACACATACACATGCATACAGAGGTGCACAAATAAATCCAATTACACAGCACGTTACAAAGACGTTGTTAATGGACCGAAGATGGTTGGGGGTGGGAAGCAAACCGAATTGCTATTGAGAAACATTTTTAAAGCTCTTAAAACATCTCAGTGCTATCAACCAAGTTCCTCCCTGCCACTAGTTGTCTTTTCTCTCTCATCTCTGCAAAATCCCTCTTCAGGAACTAGCAAAACTCTCATTACATTTAAACTCTCTCAACAGGCATCCTTTCCTCATTACCTCTTTTCCGCCAGACCTTTCCCATATTCTCTTTCTCGTGAAAAGAAATTTAGCCTCCTTTTGGATTTTCCCATCTGAATTCCTCACCCCACCATAGCGCTCTGAAAATGAACATCCCTTCCAAGAATACACCATCCTTAACTTTCAAAAGCAAAATCTGTATAATTAAGGCTGAAGTTCATTTGCAGTATCAAAACTACCAGAATAACAGGGGTTTCAATACAATAGATATTTATTTCTCTCTCATGGACAAGGCCGGAGGTGAGCAATATAACAGTGTCAGTAGGCCTGGAGATTTCCTCTTTCTGCTTCATGATCCTCAACATATGCCTTCCTTCTCCTCATTCTCTCAGATGGCTGCTGGAGATCCATTCATTTCATCAGTGTTCCAGACTAGAAACTAAAGCAAAGTAAAAGAGCAAGATAGATGCTCCCCTCCTTCTAGGAGCCTTCCTAAAATTTCCCTATAACCTGTCTACTGGCATACTATTATCCTAGAATTTGGCCTTATGGCCAAACCAAGTGGCAAGGGGTCCGAAAAAGGTGATCTTTGGGCAAGGTGCATTGCTAAGAGTTCTGTTAACTAAGAAGGAAGGGGAGATTATGTAAAATATCACAACATTATCTGTAGGACCTGCCCTGATGTAAATTTTGTTTTCTTTTTCTTCATGATCATCACCATCATCACAAGGGCAAGCATTTAATTAAGCACATTCAGTGCATATCACTAAGGGTGTAACTACCATTATCTAATACCTAATTTTTTCCTCACATTATTGCCAATTTACAGGTGAGGAAACCAAGGCTTTAAATAATAACATTACCTGACCAAGGTTATAGCTAGTAAGTCACAGGACTTTTAAGACTGTGTGATCAAAAACACATGCATTCCACCACTAGACTTTATTCTGCTTTCCTTTTAGTCAAGACACGTTTAGTCAAGACTCATTCGTGAGTTTGAAATGACCATCCCAGCAAGATGTCACGAGCAAAATTAGAGACTCCTTTGACTGTGGGGATAAAACCTCATTGCCCTCATGGGAGCATTCATGAGAAAGATGAGAGGGAAAGGAAGAGATGGGTCAGAGAGAAGGAAAAGATCTGTGGTTGAATTTTGTGGCCATGTATACACAGGTGAATCCAGTGACACAAGGGAGGAGGGTGTTTCTATACCAATGGCCTGAAGAAAGTAACAGGTACTCCTCCTGCACAGAGGCTGCATGTGGGGCTGGGTATTTAATAATAATAAATTTGGGTATTGTCTGCAGTGATGGTCCACGGGCTAATGAATTCTTGGTATAAATCATGTTGGCTGTCCCGGTCACAAGAGTCAGTACCTAAGCAAATTGTCCAAGGTGCCAAGCATGGAAGTGTGAAAATTAAATGAACTTGTAGAAGTACAAACATCTTATAGGTTACTAGTCAGAAGATTCTGTTAGAGCCAAGGGAGCCTCCTTGAAACAAAGGAATGGTTAAATTGCCAATGCAAATGTAAACAGAAGTCCAATTAGAGAATGTACTCACTGATTTTAATTTCTGTGATAAGTTCGCCATGTTGTATCTTTAGCTGGGTGAGCTCACTTTTCTGTTCTACAATACTAGTATACAAATGTTCCTCTGCAATTCCACATGGGTCCATCTTTTGTTAAAAGCACAGAATTTAAAATGCTGTGAAGAAAAAAAAAACAAATAAAAGCAAAACCATAACTCTTGAATAAAGAACTAATAGCTTTACCATTAATTAAAATAATCACATAGTTGGAAAGATGAGTCTAATAATTCCATTTCCTCAAGAAATTTTGACCCATAAGATTAAAATACAGGGCTTCCCTGGTGGCACAGTGGTTGAGAATCCGCCTGCCAATGCAGAGGACACGGGTTCGAGCCCTGGTCTGGGAAGATCCCACATGCCTCAGAGCAACTGGGCCCGTGAGCCACAGCTACTGAGCCTGCACTTCTGGAGCCTGTGCTCCGCAACAAGAGAGGCCATGACAGTGAGAGGCCCGCGCACCGCGATGAAGAGTGGCTCCCACTCACCACAACTAGAGAAAGCCCTCGCACAGAACTGAAGACCCAACAAGCCAATTAATTAATTAATTAATTTTAACAAAAGATTAAAATACAAAAAAAAAACCTTCCTAAGTGAACTGATCATTTTATTTTACAGCTATGGCCTCAACTAAATGGGTGAATGGGCCTGTCAGTCACTACAGATTCAAGTTCATTGTTTTGTTACATATATATATATATATATCATTATAACTGTGACAATAAAATTCATATACCAATAAAACAACTATTTATTGAGATAAAGTAATAACCATGACAGCTCATGACATATAAATAGTATTCTTAGGTCTTTTCAGTTTATTTTTATTATGAATTATTGATAATCAGGTATAAATGATTGTATCCTCAAAAGAAACTGAGGCACAGAAAAATGAACTGACTTTTTGGAGCAGGGAGGTCATGTCTGGGGCAGAGCAAGAAACACATACTCTTAGAGTGACTCTGTTGAGGGCCATCAGCTTAGCCTTTGCTACCTTGTCTGCCCTGCCCCTTCATTATCCCCTCCTTCATCCTTTCCCATCCTCTCCTTTGCTTCTCCTAAGCCTGTAAGGTTGAAGGAGCCCAGGCAGGAATCCTACAGGAGAGTTTGCAAAACTCTCCCTTTCCTTTCCTAAGGCTCTTCGAGGTGAGAGGATCAAATGGTTTGCTGTACTTCCTGCCACCTGACTTGTGAGAACAAGGAGAGCTGAGGACACTTCTGATCTTCGTTCATCTATGATCCAAAATAGGAAAGAGTTTTATTCTCAAAGATAATATAATTTTGCTGGTTGATCTCCACATAAAGTTCCACTGAGGACCCTGTAACTTTAAAATATCAAGGCCCAATTATGCTAAGTGAAATCAGTCAGACAGAGAAGGACAAATACTGTATGAGATCACTTATATGTGGAATCTAAAAACTACAACAAACTAGTGAATATAACCAAAAAGAAGCAGACTCACAGACACAGAGAACAAACTAGTGGTTATCAGTGGGGAGAGGGAAGGGGGAGGGGCAAGATACAGGTAGGGGAGTAAGAGGTACAAACTACTGGGTATAAAATAAGCTACAGGGAGATGTTGTACAACACAGGGAATATAGCCAATATTTTATAATATCTATAAATGGAGTATAACCTGTAAAAATTGTGAATCACTATACTGTACACCTGTAACATATAATATTGTATATCAACAATACTTCAATAAAAATAAAATGATGAGGATACCTGAAAAATGAAATAAATAAATTAAATAAACTATCAAGGCCCAAGACTTTGCAGTAAAATTTAAAAAATGTCTTATTCCTAAAAACATGCCATCATATGCTATTATAAATGACAGGCTGATTAAAACCTCAATGCAAACCTGATCAAATGTACCTTTTACATAGCTCACCACCAAGAGTTTAAAAGACCAAGAGAAAGCCTGTGGGCTAACACCAGGAAAGCAGAGAGAGTAAACCTAGCCGAGATCAGAAATGGGGAGATTTTTAACATCTTTTATTGAAATATAGTTGATTTACAATGTTGTATTAGTTTCAGGTGTACAGTAAAGTGATTGAGATATATATATATATATACATATATATATGTATATATCCTTTTTTAACATTCTCTTCCATTATAAGTTATTACAAGATATTGAATCGAGTTCCCTGTGCTATATAGGAGGTCCTTGTTGGTTATCTATTTTATATATAGCAGTGTGTATATTTTAATGCCGAACTCCTAATTTATCCCTCTACCCCCCTCCCCTTGGGTAATCTTAAGTTTGTTTTCTATGTCTGTGAGTCTATTTCTGTTTTGTTTAAAATTTTTATTGGAGCATAGTTGATTTACAGTGTTGTGTTAGTTTCAGGTGTACAGCAAAGTGAATCATTCTTTTTCAGATTCTTTTCCCATGTAGGTTATTACAGAATATTGAGTAGCGTTCCCTGTGCCAGACAGTATGAGAGACTTTGAACAGCTGAATAAATAAGAGCAAAATCTGTGAGGCTTAAAGGCTCTAGGGGATCTGACTTTGTTCAGATGGGCCCTGCAGCATGAATGATATGCTTCTCAAGAAGTCGTCACAATCTGTACTCATCTATATTATCCTCCGATTTAGCCAGAGCCCAAGGGAAATGGCAGCATCAAGAAGAGACTCCCATCCATTGTGGAAGACGAGGAAGAGGAAGAGAGCCGGGAGGAGGAGGAGACTGCATCCCTCTCCCCCATCTACACTAGGGGATCTTCCTCTTCCCGTAGCAAGAGGCCTGGAAGCAGTAAGAGCTATCTCGGCTTAAGCCTGAAGCAGCTGGCCTCGGGAACAGTGCCATTTCACTCACCTGTCAGAGTCTCCAGTTCCAATTCCCCCAAAAGCAAACAGGAAGCCGACGCCCCTAACCATGGTAAAAGAAAAGAGAAGAACTTGAAATTGCAACTTTCAGCTTTGAACAATGCTGGACCCCCAGACCTCAGTCCAAGGTGAGAGTTCACATCATAGAATTCTTTCCCAGGTGAAACTGGCTGCCTTGTAGTCAGACTAGTACCTGGCTAGTAAATGAGTCAGCCTTCTAGGCCTTTCTCCCGTGCAGGTTCCTAGCCTCGATGCTTCAGCTTCCCTAAATGTTTGTGCGCCATTTTTGACTCTACATGGAGGTGTGTGCAAGATGAGAATAAATCATTTTAGTCACATTCTCAAAAGGGCCCATTACATGTTCCAAATTCTTTATCTTCTCCCTTTACCCATTTAGCTCTACCTATTTTTATAGATGTATATTTCTACATTGTAATTTTATAACTTATAAATTTCTAATGAAAACAAAAGAGATGGAACAAAGTCCGTATTGCTATCCCCTCAGTATCTGATCTTACCAAAAGTTTCATGAAGCAATGAGTGGAAATTATGAAGGAAGTGAAGTGCTGGTCTTCATTTCCCATAGTATTTGCTTCATTATTGTGGACGATTGAACTTATTTTTATTTCTGGTCCCTTCAGCCTGTAATATGGGATGGTTCTATTTTTTAATTTTAAAAAAATTCACTTTAGGATCAACTAAAAGTGATTGAAACAGTGAAAAATTCTGACTCAGAAAATGTGAAAAGAGTAGGCTATGGTGCGTAACAGCTCAGTAAAAAATAGACATGAAAAAAACATATTGAGTGATTCCTAGTCTCATGTACTCGGCTAGGTAATTTTTCATTTACTATTACATTTAGTCTTTTCAGGAATCGTCTAAAGTAGCTTGTATTATCTCTACTATAAAGTTGTAAGAAGTGTTAAGTATTTTGAAGGTTACATATTTTGTCCAAAATCTCAGAAATTTGAGTTCTGAAATATAGATTCAAATTCTGTTGTTCTGCTTATAAGGCAAGAGTTGTTTCTGATATACTACATATTTAGTTAGTCATTTGAAGAACACAAATTATCCATTTAGAGAAAATATTAAGGGGAAAATAAGCAAAACAGGGTTAATGAAAAGTAGGTGGATATTAAATGTTCAGGAATTCAGTTGGAGATGGTAATTTGAAAACATCCCTTAATTCTTCTCCTTCCTAAAATTTCTCTAAAATGAAAAATACTAAATTATAAAAAGGGGGAAAATATATGAGAGCTGGAAAAGAAAGTTTCATGTACAACTTATTCTACACTTATGAAAAAACATATTTTATTTTATATCTAGAAAAAGATTTTGAGAACACACCAAGATGTTAAGGGTAGTGGTGAATGACAGTTGATTTTTCTTTTCAGATTTTTGCTACCTTTATGTTTACATTTTCTCCAATAAATTCATCTTTTTTAAAAAATAATGAGTGTGTTAGATATTATTTACCAAGGAAAGAAGATTAGCTAGAGTCCTAATAGTCAGTTAAATATAATTCTTCAACTCTCACTTCAGAGTTTTGTCCACGTCCAGAGCAAAGATGTTTTCAAAGTTATTTTCTGCAATTCTGTAAACATTACGTTAAAACTCTTTAATTCTGGATAGAGTAGTGAATTAATATAAATTTAGATAAGAGAACTTCTGTAGCTTAAGGTTTTGAATCTGAGAATAAATGAGTCTAAGATCTATAGCATTGCTGTTCAATAGAAATGTAGCATGAGGTAAAATTGTGAGCCACATGAGTAATTTTAAATGTTACAGTAGCCACATCTTTAAAAAGTAAACACACACACATGCAATTATTTAATAATAATTTTAATAAGATATTTTATTTGACTCAATATGCCCCAAATACTAGCATTTCAAATATTAAAAATTACTAATTAAATAACTTACATTTTTTACTAAAATCTTCAAAATCCAGTGTGTATTTTATAGTTACAGCACATCTCTTTTTGCACATTTCAGGTGCTCAATGGCCGTATAAGGCTAATGGCTACCATATTGGATAGCCCAGCTCTAGAGTGTCTAGAATTTAGAAATTTAACACACAATTTTTCGAGTCTTCTAGGAATACTGGAACCCATGAATATAAATGCGCAACTAGCCAATCCTTGTTATTTTAAACAGGGTTGTTGATGGAATTGAAGATGGAAACTGCAGTGAGGAAAGCCAGTCTTTTGACTTTGGCTCTGAACGAGTCAGACCGGAGCCCCGAATTTCTCCTCCTCTTGGAGGTAAGCTCTATATTTAGTCTTCTCTCAAGGGGTGATATGTCTTTACAACTTGTAATGTTTGGTATAGGCACTTTTTTGCCTTCCCATTCTCGGGGTATTCTCCATGTGATGGAACTTAACCAAAGCCACAAAGTAATTTGACTTGAGTCTGTGCCACCTCCAAGTTGTTAAGATAGCATTTGTAATGGTTCCTCTATCCAGGCTCGACATCCTGCAGCTTACCAGCCCAGGTAAATGGTGTGTCAGGAGGAGACTCAAATTTCTGCTCTTCATCAGAGGGTAACCATGTTTTCCTATTATAAATGCAGACTAATCCACAGAAACAACATTACCCAAAGGAAATGCTGTGTTGGGTGTAGACTGTAGGAACATTGGTTATACTTAACCAATTTATTGGGTAAGTGGTTACGTACTTGCAGTTTTCCAGGGATAAATATCTTCAGAAGTATGTAAGAATATCGGAAATGAGGGGGAATTATATGAAGTACTACCCTCTAGGGATGGTGAATTAATGTAAAGTACCCCAAAACCTAGCCCAGGCTCCTCTCTCTCCATTTCATTCTTGAGTTCATTGCCCACAAAAGAATTTGTCAGCATGATGAAGGCCAGAAATGACAACCTCTAAAAGAAGACGCACCTGTAGTTGATAGAGAATAATGAACACAGGCGATCCCAAACAGTCACCAGATGCAAGGCAGATCCTTGTGTCAGGATCTCCTGCTAATTGGTGAATCCTTCCATGGGCAAAGCCAAGCCCAATAAAGACTTCTGAGTGTACAGCTCTGGGGGTATGTCTCCATTTGGTAGAATACCAGTCTTCTATCAATCAACAGTTCTTCCCAGCACTCATCTGGGAAGATGGAAGAGTAAGACTCCATAGTAGGACAATGGTGGGAGGTGGGAAGGTGAGGAGAGGAATGCAGATGTTAGTCAACAATCATGATTCATCCATGTAATGGACTTATATCTGCTCTGGGCAAGAAGCACAGAAATCATAGTTCTTGTCAACCAGATGTGAGCATTTGCTATGGAAGCTGATGGTGGGTCCCAATTGGAAGTTTTCCTTGTTGGCTCACAGGACGTCATCATGCCATCCACCTAGTATTTCTGGTCCTGCCACCCGCCTTAGCCTCCTCTTCTCCCTTTTCCCAACATCTACCCCAATACTCATCCATTCAAGCAACAAGTATTCTTGACTTTACCTCCTAAATATCTCTCAGTTATGTCTGAGACTTTCTATCCTTCCTTCCACCACCCTTTTCCCTGCCACATTCACTCTTGCCTGCACTGCTTCCAAAGTCACTTCTCTGTTTTCACACTGTTCTCCATACAGAGTGAACTTTTAAAAAAATACAAATTTATTCTTATTACGCTATTCCTATGCTTAAAATCCTGAGATGGATTCCTACTGCCCTTAGTATGAAATCCACACCTATTGCATAATTGCTATTTTTAAAAAATAAATTTATTTATTTATTATTTTTGGCTGCATTGGGTCTTCATTGCTGTGCGTGGGCTTTCTCTAGTTGCAGTGAGCGGGGGCTACTTTTCATTGCAGTACACGGGCTTCTCATTGTGGTGGCTTCTCTTGCTGCAGAGCACGGGCTCTAAGCGGGGGGGCTACAGTAGTTGTGACACACGGGCTTAGTTGCTCCATGGCATGTGGGATCTTCCCAGACCAGGGCTCGAACCTGTGTCCCCTGCATTGGCAGGCAGATTCTTAACCACTGCACCACCAGAGAAGCCCCATAATTGCTTTTTCAATGTCTCTTTTCCCAGCTAGACTCAAAGCCCCATGAAGGTCAATATATTTTCTTTATTTCTGTCTCATCTAAAGGAGGCTTAGCCTGTTGTAGGTGATCTCTTATCATTCATTGAATGAATAGATTAACTTTGAAAAATATCTCAGCAAAAGGAGCTTTTACTACTCTGACACTTTGGATTGTTTTGAGCGACTTTTTTCTCCCACAGGCAAATTTTCTACACATAATTGACCAGAATTAGGATAGTCATCATGATATATATACACGACATATATAGATATAGATACCTCTGTATATCAAATCCCTTCCACTCTAGCTAGCAATGATTCATCTGTGCTTCTGCTCCTGACAGATATGAAATGTATTTGTAAAAGTAAGGTAGAGAAAAAGTGGAGATGAGAGACCTGGGAAACGGGAGAAATCACCTTTTAGAGCAACATTGGAAGAGACAGAAAGCCTGCAGTGGGGATGAGCAGCTTTAATAGAGGTAGGAGGAAAATGCTCTCATGGGTACAGGACTCAAAATCTGGAAAGGGAAGAGAGGAGAAAAGAACATCTCTTTTCTATGGCTTGGACACTGGCTGTGATATATTTTTGGAAAATGGTCAAAGAAGAGAACATGTGCCATTTGGGCACATGGTAGGACTGTGTTCAGGAGAGGGGGAGGGTGGCCATGGACACATCCAGTAAGTGTGGCCTCAGTCACCACCATGCTGTGTGCCTAGTTCCAAAGAGCTCACCAGGTGCCATCCAGAGGAGAACAAGGGAGACAGAAGCTACAGTGCACCGACATCAGGAAAGGTTGAAGGCAGCTTGGGCTTCCTTCCTTGTTCTAACTGCCCCAGTCCTGAAATATGAGGTTTATTCCTGAAGGACTCATTCTGCATGTGTGTCACTTTCCAGACCCAGAGATTGGAGCTGCTGTCCTCTTCATCAAAGCAGAGGAGACCAAGCAGCAGATAAACAAACTCAACAGCGAGGTATGGAGCTTTGCCTTTCTCTGGTCATGTTGGAGTGGTGAGAGGGGAAGGAAATCCTAGTCACCAGCAGAAGTGGTATAATATAGTCATGATGAATATGCGCTCTGGTGTCTGGTGACAAATATGGATGAATTCCCACTCAGCCTCATGTGAGTATTAGTCACTTACCTTCTCTCAAGCTCTAGTTCCCCGTGGGTAGCGAAGAGATAGTAGTCATCCCCACCTTATGGCCCATTTGTGAAATTAAATGAAATAAGCTAGGTAAATTATTTAACCTACGGGAAAGACTAACTAAATGATTATTATAATTGGTGTCATAAATGTATTGATACTTGGTTTAATTGGTGCTTTGTCACTTTTTTCAAGTACTTTAATTTTTAATGAGTTAAAGCAAGATCATTTGTCCACAGATGAATCAAAAGTAATGAATCAGAGTAATCAAATGGCCTGAAACTCTATTCTTTTCTCTGGCCTGTATTTGCTGTGTAACTTTGAGCACTTTAGCTCTTTAGATCTTACCATCTCTCCGTGTGAAATTAGGTAATTTCTTAAAAAACTTTATTGAGGTATATTGTACATATCATAAAATTCACCTATTTCAAGTGTATAGTTTAATGATTTTTACTATCTTTATTGAGTGGTTCAACCATCCCCACCTGAGTTTTAGAGTATTTTTCCTCCCTAAAGAGATCTCTCACACCCATTTATGATTAATCTCTGTTCCCACATCCAGCCCTAGGCAACCACTTATCTACTTTCTGTTTCTATAAATTTGTCTTTTCTGTATGTCTCATATAAATAGAGAAGGTAATTTCTGAATCAGTCTCTTAATTTGGGTGTCCCCCTAAAATTAAATTTAAAAAAAATAGATTTTGAGACAATGATTTGGATGCAGATAGTTTCTTTGGGAGGTGATCCAGGAAGCAAGGTGAAGGAGTAAAGGAATAAGACAGGAAAGAAAGGAAAACAAGTAAATAAGTGTATGTTAATGAGATCATTCACTCTGTAGGCAATTGGGGCTCGATCCTGCTAGGGGGGCACTGAGAGACTGTGTAGGGCAACTCAGAATTGTTCTTCCATGAGACAAGTAAAAGGAGTTGAGGGTGGCTCCTGAGAGGTTACCTTCAGGCTTAGCTGCAGAAGACACTAGAAGGATCCTTCAGACAGGAATATGCAGGAAGACCCAGCTGTCTGTGGTGAACTTCCAGGTAGACTTAGGCCAAGTTCAGTGAGCAGACACAGACAGGGTAATAGGGCTGAAGTTTTAGATTCTCTGATGAGGTCTTGATGGAAAATGTAACCAACTGATGATATTGATGAGATTTGAAAAAAATGAAATTCACGTAATCATAATTGCTTTCCAATTACCTGTAATAATGGAAAACTGGGCAGCTTGTCATAAAGTCTATAGGGTGTTTTTGTTAATAAATTTATTTATTTCATTTATTTTATTTTTGGCTGTGTTGGGTCTCCGTTGCTGCGTGTGGGCTTTCTCTACTTGCTGCGAGCAGGGGCTACCCTTCGTTGAGGTGCGTGGGCTTCTCATCGTGGTGGCTTCTCTTGTTGCAGAGCACGGGCTCTAGGCACACGGACTTCAGTAGTTGTGGCTTGTGGACTCCAGAGCACAGCTCAGTAGTTGTGGCGCACGGGCTTAGCTGCTCCGCGGCATGTGGGATCTTCCCGAACCAGGGCTCAAACTCGTGTCCCCTGCATTGGCAGGCGGATTCTTAACCACTGCACCACCAGGGAAGCCCAAGTCTATAGGTTTTTGTTCAACATGTGTTCCATCAGCTTAGTGAAGATTTGTGCTTTACTGCCCTCTCTCATTCGGAGTCTACACTTTCTGGAAGTGAGATGGTTGCCAACAAGAAGTAAGAGGGCCAAAGGGCAGACTAACAAAATAGGAAAAGAAAAACTAACTGGATTGAAACTGCTTAAATCACGAGGACTTGGCCATATGTGAGATCACCCAAATAATCTCATTAAAAATACACCAAAAAATAAAAAATACACAGAAGAACAAAAAGAAAACAAACTAAACACTCTTTTGGGCACCTGGACATCAACTTTTGTGTGTGTGTGGTTTAAGAGTGCTTTATTATTGTGGGGTTTTTTGTTGTTGGGTTTTTTTTTTTTGGATAGCAACTTTTTATTAAACAATTTTCTTTAAGATATTGTTCTCAGATAAAATCACACATTAATACCACTTGAATTATCAATATTTTCCCTCACATTTGAGTTTATTTAATGGTTTTAGGAACTGACTGACCAATATCTTAGCTGAAACACAGAAGTTAGTAATTAGTCTGGGGAAAAAAAAAATGTGTTGGTAGCTTCAATGTTCACCTTCCCTAAGTTCAGGTTTTTCCTCTATTAAATGGTAATGATAAAATCTGTCATAGAGGAGTGTGGCTAAGGACTTAATACCATATGTAAAGCACCAAACATGGTGGTCAAATGCTCATTCTCTCCTCATACAAGGTCCTGCTTCTAGTCAACAAATGTGACTCTCAAGTTAGTCCCCCCTGCTACCCAACAGTGCCCCGTGCAGAGTCATAGGAGAGAGAATTAGTCAATGCATATGGAATAAAATGAAAATGAATGGACTTAAGGGAAACATATGTGATCATGAAAATGAGACTGCTTTCACCTGAGACTTCCTTTTGCTATGAAGACGCTCACTATAAAATTAGAATAGGGACTTCCCTGGTGGCACAGTGGTTAAGAATCTGCCTTCCAGTGCAGGGGACATGGGTTTGAGCCCTGGTCTGGGAAGATCCCACATGCCACTGAGCAACTAAGCCTGTGGGCCACAACTACTGAGCCCGCCTGACACAATTACTGAAGCCCACGCACCTAGAGCTCATGCTCTGCAACAAGAGAAGCCACTGCAATGAGAAGCCCATGCACCGCAAGGAAGAGTAGCCCCTGCTCACCGCAACTAGAGAAAGCCACGCGCAGCAACGAAGACCCAATGCAGCCAAAAATAAATAAATAAATTTATTTTTTAAAATTACAATAAAAAATGATAGGGTAAAAATTTTACATTTCAGTGCCTCTTATTTTAACTAAATAATTTGATGTAAAAGTGTCACCGATTTACTGTAAAGAACACTTATTCTGTAACATTTAAGTTGATTTAAGGGCAAGGAGACCCAGTATGCCAGTTAACAATGCTTAACCATTATGTGACATTACACTAAACGTTTAAGTGGTAAAATGATATTAAAACTAGGCAGAAGACAACCTGCCAAACTTAACAGAAAGGTAATCACAGGCAAATTTCAAACTGAGAAAATGCGATGGCTTATTAAATCATCCTTAGCAGAGTACACTTTGGCTGGAGTGCTCTAATTGCCACTTGTTAACATTTTATTTTGTAGGTACATAAAGGAGCCAGTTAATATTAGGCCACTTTATTCCAACTTGAGTCTTAACTATATTAAGGAGAATGAAAATGTTTCGTGTATATAATACATGCCTAAACAAAAAAATAAATGAGTTTTGTAGAAACAACTTATATTGACTTTTCTGAGAGAGAAGTCTGGCTTCTCATACTATTTATTAACTCCATTTTTAAAACAACTTTATTGAGGTATAATTAACGTGTCATAGAATTCATCCTTTGAAAGTGTACACCTCGGGACTTCCCTGGCGGTCCAATGGTTATGACTCTGTGCTTGTATGGCAGGGAGTGCAGGTTTGATCCCTGGTCAGGGAACTAAGATCCCGCAAGCCAGACAGCATGGCCAAAATAAATAAATAAATAAATTAATTAATTAAAGCATACACTTGAGGGCTTTTAGTATATTCCTAGACTTGTGCATGCATCACCATAATAAATTTTAGAACATTTTGTTTCCCCACAAAGAAGCTTTGCACCACACAGCCATCACCCCTAATGCCAGTGGCTCCCCGTCTTCAGCCCCAGGCAACCACTAAGCTACACTATGTGCCTGTAGATTCGCCCACTCAGGCCATTTTATATAAATGGAATCATACAATATGGTCCTTTGTGACTGGCTTTTTTCACTTAGTGTAATATTTTCGAGGTTTTCATCTCACATTGTTGCATACCAGTACTTTATTCCTTTTTACTGCCAAGTAATATTTCATTATATAGATATAGCACATTTTGTTTATTCATTCATCACTTGATGGGCATTTGTGTTGTAACCACTTTTTGGCTAATATGAACAATGCTACTATGAACTTTCATAAAACATTCACACAAGATTCTGTGTGCACATGTTTTAATTTCTCCTGAGTAAAGAAGAATGGCTAGTAACCCTATGTGTAAACATTTGAGGAACTGCCAGGCTGTTTCCCAAAGCAGCAGAAGAATTTTATATTTAGCAGCATATGAAGGTTCCAACCTCTCCACTTTCTCACCAACAATTTTTATTTGTTATTATCTGATTTTTTTATATAACCATTCTTGTGTGCATGAAGTGGTATCTCATGTGGTTTCCATTTGCATTCCCCTGATAGCTAATAATTTGAGCATCTTTTCATGTGTTATTGGCCATTTGTATGTCTTTGGAGAACTGTCAATTTAGATCTTCTATCCATTTTTAAATTAGGTTGTCTGTTTATTACTGAGTTGCGAGTGTTCTTTATATATTCTAGATAACAAGTTATGATGGATGTACAGTTTTCTTCTCACATTCTTTAAGTTGCCCTTTAATTTTCTTAATGTTTTTCTATAAAGCACAATTTGGTGATACCCAATTTATCTCTTTTTTCTTTTGTTCTTTGTGATGTTGAGGTCACATCTAAGAAACCATTGCCTATCCCAAGGTCATTAAGATTTATTCCTCTGTCTTCTTCTAAAGGTTTTATAGTGTGAGCTCTTACATTTAGGTCTGTGGTTTATTTTGAGTTAATTTTTGTATATGGATGATGTATGGGTCCAATTTTACTTAATTTTTTTGTGTGGATGTCTAGTGATCACATCACCATTTATTAAAAACACTAAGTTTTCCCCACTGAATTGTCTT